GCCTGCTGGGTGCTGGCTTAGGAGACAGGCAGCCTGGGGTTCTGCCTGTGGGGAACAAATAGGTCCAGGTTCCAGGGACCCAGCAGAACTGACAGAAACAGGGACACCATGTGCTCAGAGGAGGGTCCACTGGGCTGTGCTGTCGCCTTTGACCCTAGATGCCCCAGCCTGTGGCCTGACCCTGGGTGCAGCAAAGGGAGGCCTGCAGCCAGGGATGTGTGACCTTGGCATCTCCCACAGAACTACTCAGGGGCTGAGGCATGTGGTTTGAATCCAGCCCTCCTGCCAATAAATTCATGTGTTCCCTCTCATCCCAGCCATGTCTTTGTTAGGAAAATTATTTAACCAAACTTTAAAAAATGGAACAGAAATCCCAGATTCCAAAATCTCTGCCAGCCTTACTTGGAGGCTGAGTAGGGGTAGATGGATCAGTGATCAGCCAGGGAACACTCTTGAGAAGACGGCAAAGTTGGGGGACAGCGACTCATGGGTCATCACATCTTCAGGGACGGCTCCAGAACCAGAGCCAACCTCAAATTTTATTTCTCACACCCCCCTCCAAGCACAGAGATAGCATGTACACAGCACACAACATGCATGCACACAGGTACACAATCAATACACAATATACAGGTACTGAGTGCGAGACACACTTGTGTGTGTGATGTGTGCACGGTGTACACACATCATTATACGGCTTCCCTCTGCCTCTCCTCCGACTCGGAACCACCACCCACCCCCAAAGCAGTTGACAAGTGTTTTGCCATTTTATCTGTTTGGATGGGGAGAGGGAGGGACATGTGATCTGTCTTCGCTCCTTCCTCCCTGAGTCGTGATCCCTCCTCCTGGCACGCACCCCACTGTCCATGGCAGTTTGGTGGAAGACCATATTATTCCATATTATTTTATCTTTTTTTTTTTTTATATCTGAGAAGAGACGGCTTTCTGGGAAGGGGGTTAGTGCCAAAAAGTGAGGCAAGTGTTCCTCAAAACGTTGCTGCATTAAAAGGCCACAGCTTGGCAGACCTCTCCTGACCC